TCCAGCTCAGCCCCCACCCCCCTACCCCCCTGACCAAACGGCCCTGTTGCTCAGCATGCCTGTTTGACCTGGTATTTCTTTGGCTTAGGTCCTGTCAGGGTCAGGGCCTGTGTTTGGGGCATCAGCAGTCACAGCCAGTTTGGTTGGGTGTCACTCAGCTCCTCTGGCCCTGTGTTGCTCTCAATCATCCCCTCTCAACAAAGGGGGTCGGCCTCTGTTTCCTTCTCGCCCCACATCCAGCTCGGTAGGGCTCTGGGATCATCTGATCTCCTGGCCAATCTCTTCACTCTGAAGGGGGAATTTTTTCGAACTTTATATATTCAACAGTCAAAGCAGGACCCAATTGATTTTGGAGATATAATTCCCCCATGGTGAATTACCGCCCCCCTTTTTTTTTACGGTATATGAATTCATATGCATGCTGTTGGGGAAACCCAATAGAAACCAAACATCCTTCCTCATTTGAACATGTGGTGGTATGTTGGGTCTCATTTACATTTCAGTGAATCTGTCCTAGCATTTTCCTTCCTTTACATCCCTGTGATGTTCTGTGACAATTAACATCCCAACTCTTTCTAGAGGATTGTTGAAAGCTCAGGGGCTAATTCAAGGGTCAAGCAAGTCTTGCAAGCTGTCAGTCTTTTATTGTAACTCAAGTTCCCTTCCCCCACTCTAGGTCTTTATTCTTGATTCTCTTCTATTCTCTCAGACCTTGTTTTATAGAACAGCCCAACTCTCCTTTTATTCTCATGTGGCCCTCTTACAGCTAGTGAGGAACAACCAGGAGCTTTGTCTAAGAATCCCAACATTCTTTTCACATCTGCCTCTTGTTTTCAGACCCCCACTGCATTTAAATTTCAAACTGTCCTGAATCAACCCCCCCTCCCCTCCCTTCCTCTCCATTCTGAGCCTTTTATTTTCTTTATTTCCTCTTCCTTAATAACCCCAACCACTCCCCTGGTTTTACACTTTTGACACTTATTTGTTGATTATAAAGCATTCGGTCCTATTTGAAGTACATGGGGTATGCATATGTTTAAAGCCTGTGGTCCCACAACTTTGCAGCTTTGCCATTTCCCATGGTACTTAAACATCTGTCTGCACTGGCTTAAAACTTAGCCCAAACAACGTGCTGCCAGCTAAAGTTTTTTTTTCAATCTGTGCTAAAAAATTACATGCTTAATGAATGAGGATGCGTCGCCTTGTCGATAGATCACCTCACAGAAACTCCACAGCTATTCCAAAGCATTGTGAAAGACTAAAGCATCTTCTGGGATCCCATCTAAGTCCTGAATCTGCGCAAGAAAAACAGCTAAAAGTGGCATAGCTGGCAGTTTCTGTTATAAGGCGGAGAGACAAAAAGAAACCCCCAGCTGAGAGGGGAGACCTCAGCTCGTTTAATGAGGAGAACGCCAGTCAGACAGTCTCCCTCTAGTCGACGCCTTTGGTGTCTCAGCATGTTAAACACTCGCAGCATGATACAAAATGTATTAAAGTATAGGACTGTTATCATCGATTTACAGAACACCCATCCCCATGTACTAGGAATCTACATCCTGCATGTTTTTCCTAGCAGGGGGTCTCCGCTGCCTTGAAGGGAAAACTGTCTGAGGCATCTTGTCTTTTGTCTTCACATTCTGACATGAGGCAGGTCGATCAAGCTGTCTTTGATTTTACGCCGTGGAAGGAAGAATAATCAGAACGCCACGTCGCTTCTCTCTCAGAGTTCCATTGGTTTGTTTACATGTAAAGAGGTGCACCTTTAGCCAGCAAACACAAAGACTCAGTCGTACAGAAAAAGCCCGTCTCCAACCATATCTGGGAGTATGTAATGCGCTCATATAACCTTGAGATAATAAATGAGGCTGGAAAATAAAAGCTGCACAGATTTAACAGAGGAGGTGGAAGTGTTCTCTGTTTAAGTTCAAACAATTCTGGCTGCATCTGAGTTAATCTCAGCTGTGTTTACAAGGATTTCAATTATTCAGTTGCTACCAAACTGGGGGTTTCACACAAATGACTCAAATTACGAAACCATAACATTTAAAAAAAAAAAAATTGTGTTAAGATTGCAGACAGAGTCCATGTGCTTTGTTTTTTAAATTAAATGTAGTACTGTTAATATCTTCATTTTAAATAGGCTCACAGAACCTGGCGCAAAGCAGGACACACTTTTCTAAATGAAAAAAAAGTGACAATTGAAGGGATGCTGGGACAAAAAAAACCTTGCCAGCATCCCTATGCTAGTTGTAATGTTAAATCCATTAAATCCATTAAATTACATCAATGTTACTTCTAAACCCTCAAGAGTTGGAGCATGTGTGAATATGTGTTGTAAAATGATAATTTTAAAAACAATTAACACCAAAGATGTCTCTCCATTTTCCTATTATATTCCTCATTTCAATTTGCATATAGACTACCTCCTTCTTGACATGAATTCAGCCATTAAACACCCAAGTAAATTATGTGTATATTAGTATGGAACCTATGAACCAAGTATACACCTTAGTTAAATTTAATTTTCAGAGTACGGTCCTTTTTTGCACGGCTGTCTAATGATTGGACGGAATTATCACTATTCACATCTCAGCCCATGTAAATGTGTGTGTGATCAAAGGAATGTCTCTCTTTCTAGGCAAACAAAACAGGAAGCACTAAGTCTTTGTGTGCACAGCTGAAGATTCTTAAGCCTATATGCTCCGCATAGAGCTTTATCGGAGGGACAATCAGCTTAAGGTCTCATTATACTGTATGGACCTTGAGTGTAGGCGGAAGTCGCATGCCCTAATAAACTTACCCATAATTGGTGCCACATGCACTGATAAAAAACAACGGGTGGTGTTTTGTTAGAATCCAATATTGGGGCTTTTCCATTAGTCCCCGCTCAGCCCCACTCGGATCAACATGCCTTGCTACAACTCGCTTTCAGTGCTTTTTTTACAAATGAAGGTCCCTAACAGAATGATGGGTTGAGTGGCCCGTGATGTCATTTGTAGTCGACACAAACACGCGACAACAATGGTGTCCCTCGATGTCGGACAGAGATGTTGATTAATGTGTTACCCAAGAACAGTGCTGATAATCAAAGAAACAATGGAAATGTTGATTATTGTGTTTTTTAATGGGAATGGTTCACATTAAAGAGTTGCTTTTATGACTCACTGAGTCACATGACTCCCTGGCCAATCAGCAGCCTGCAGTCTGCCTTTTGACTGACTCAACCCACTTGGAACCCCAGCTGATGAGTTTCTAATACTGTAACTCTGACGAGGTGTCAGCCCCTAATGGTAATGAAAGAAAAATAATGCTGAGTCGTGGAAAAACCCTGTATGTTTTTTTAATTCTGTGATCAACTTTCATTTGTCAAGCCTCATGACTGCACATTATTTCATTGAAACTAAATACGCGGTGGCTGTGTGTGTTCTGCTCCTGTTAACCTCTTTTAAATGGCTCTAAAATTAGAGGTCTCAGGTGAGGAGCAATGTCATACCAGATGAGCTGATTATGGCAGGTTTAATTATAACTTTGTCGCTTAATGTGTGTGCTCTGCATGTTTTCTCGGTGATGAATTAGAACACTGTCTGAGCGCTCAGACAAAATAGATCAAAGACCCTTCAGGCAGTGGTTATCCTCCAGCGTGGGGGGGGGGGTGGTGGCAGAAACTGAGTCCCGCAGCTGACTGTACAAGACGTACAGATTTCCAGCTGCTTTCTCTCTTAGGTAGAGTTGCAAGTTGCCAGTGAGATGAATAACACTCAGTCCCCTGAATCTTAATGAACAATAACTCCAGACAGATTAAAAAAAAAAAAAAGGTATGTTGTTTTTGAATGTGCTCAAAAGGAAGAAAGAAAACAGTTTCTAATGGGGTCCTATGTGCCTTGTTGCCGGAGCGATGCCATATCCCATGGTGAATGTGCTAATGGTTCATGGGAGTGAGAGGACTAAGCTTAACCCAGCAGTGTAAACACACAGACAAAAGGGAGCCGTTAGTGGTGTGAAACGCATGCCTGGGCGCGCAGGTAGGCATTAGGTTTCCCCCAACACAGCCCCAGAACTGTATCCATGACAGGGAGGATGCCATTTGCTTTCCCCGCGAAAGAGAGAAAAAAACAAACTTTCCGACTAGCACTTCAGAGATAGGTGTAGATGAGGCGGGGAAGGAGGAACTCTGGTGTGGAGAGATGTGAGAGAAAGGGCGGGAGAGATAAGGCGGTTTGTGGTCAGTCACAACACTGAGGAGTGACCATTTGTTTGCTAGTGTTTGTTTGGCTTTGGCGTGGGGGTGGAAGGAAGCAAACATTATCAGTCAAACTGGGGGGAGAAATAGTTTTAAACCTAGGTATTATTAGTAGTGAAACTCCAGCAGTCTTATTTTATTTGTATTATAATGTTCTTCAAGTAATATTTTACATATTTTTATGTCTATGATACAAAATATTTACAAATGATAATGATAAGAAAACGAGTAAGGATGGTAAAAATAACAAATCTGTTGAATAGAATTTAATATCAAAGGGAAAATATTTTTTTTCTATTGATTGACGACCATTAAAAGTAGACAGACTGGGCAGGCCACATCTGTTTGAATACAGCACCCTGCTACCACCCCACTCTCCCTCCCTGCCAAGCATTTTACTGCCATTAAGAGATTTTCCCTCCTCGGGATTATTGACCCTCCGGGCTTCATTTTTGTGGTTTGCGTGGGTTTTGTAGCATTTCACAGTTTAAAGTCGGCCATAGCGCCGCAGTGGAATGTGTATGCAACATCAAGTGCCTTGTGATGCGAGCATTACCGGGTGACTTCCTCTGTCAAATGCCACTGGGGCAGAACCCCACGCGTGGAATAAATTTCATAGCTGAACTGAATGTTTCTTTTGGTCTGCTTCACAGGTGAAAGAACCGACGATGAGTGTCTCTGAGACCGGCGGGCTTGGACTTTTCTGATCAGAATCTTAGTCGTAACGCACAGCAGCCACAAACCATCGAAACCCAGCGCCATGGCATGTTCCTTGTGGAAACTACACACCTTCTGCTGGTTTCTCATCACTCTAGCTCAAGTGCAATCCACAGAGGGTGAGTATTTATGAAAGTCTTGTATTTGTGAATTTCCTTTAAAACATACAGATTTTTTCTTACATGCCGCATTTATGTTAAATTTTATTTCTTTATTTTTTTACATCTATTGCACAGGGGTTATCCCGGTCCCACAGGAAACCCTGGATCTTTTTGTCTTCTCCTATGCAATATTTAGAAACACAAACAGTGAAATTGTGACCCAATCTAATTCCGCTCCTCTACGTGCAGGCGTTGTTTTTGTCAGTAATGCACTTTTGAGGACAATGGGCACTGACAAATGGGGTATGATGTTGAGTGGTTTCATTAGTTGGTAAATTGTGATTTGTCTGAGATTTTCTGCTTGAAAGCGCCAGTTGCTCCCAGTGGCATCAGAGCTGGATCTATTTGTACATTCCTTGCTTTAAATGTTCTGTGCCATGGCAGGCTCGCACAGATTTCACACTTCAGAAAACATAAAAATTGAATGTCTTTTTATGATGCTTCATTTAGTTTTGATTAAATTATTCTCAGCTTTATTGTAACCACTAGACCTACGTGTTCAAGCCACATCCTCTAAACTAGATCCAACACATATTAGTCTTTAACCGCAGACTAGAGATGCATTACCTTGAATAAACTGAAGTTGGCATCTTTTTAGTGTAATATAAGAGAAACCATTAAAGTTTAGTTCAAAGGTGCCAACCGTGGAAGCTCTGGCCAACTCCTCACTTTACCTGCTTTATTACTTTAGCAATGTAGGACTCCGGGTTGCCAAGTCGTGATTTAGTAGCGTGCTTTATTCACTATGCACCAAGCCCCAACAGGGATGCCGTATCATGTACATATTATCACGATTTTAAAGGGTGAAATTCGAGAAATGGAATATTTCTAAAAAGTGCAGTCACAAAGAAATGCTTCATTTAGGTGGCTACTTTTAATCATGCGCTTTCTATTAATAGCAGTACTTTTTTCTGCACCACTCTGCAGAAAAAAAATCTAAGTTTGCAATTATTAGACTTGCGTATTGATAATGAGTCTATAGAAGGAGTGGGAAAGAAAATCATAATCTCAAATGGTACTGCGTGTCTTGTGATCACCAGGAACGCCACAGAATTAAGCTGGCTGTGTTTACAAAGTGGAACTCTACACTGCATACCCCTATATCGTGGTTCTGTTACAAACGCCTAAGAGGATGTGACAGACCTAACGCTGTGTGTTATGAGAGTCCATGAGGTGACACATTGGTGGTTTAAACCCTCCCCTGGCAAATAAAGGGAGAAAAAAGAGTCGTACAAGGAGAAATGCCCCTTCTAATAAGCAGGAACGGTGGGGTAAACGCTTGAAATTAATTAGATCATTTATTATAATGACATTTGTCATTCACCTCCTTTTCTTTCTGACTAATAACCCCCTCCTCTGTTGCTGTTTTCACCCTTCCATCTCAGTCACAGAGATCAGTCCAGAAACACTTCATTACAAACAATATCCCCAAGTAAACATGCTTCATTAAACTGCCTCTACCCCTAATATCTTTTTAATGCATTTTTATAATTGAATTAAATGGGTTAGTGGAATGTGGCAAGTAGTTCAGAGTTAGTTTTTTCAGACCCCTTTTTTTCCGTTGTATGTATGCATACTGTATATAGAGAGATATTGAAGCACTGTGTCCTTATTTGACCCCTACTTTAGTACATCCTCCACATTTGACACCAGTGGGTAGACTCGTATCATGAGAATATCTGTTCTGTTTGTTTGCTTTGCTCATGCACTACATTTCCAAGGCATTTGTCCCTTTTTTTTCTTTTCACATTTTCCACATCTTAACACTGAAGAAAAGCCGAGTGTGCATCAGTAACCCCAGCACTGAGAGGCGTTATTTTGTGAATTTGATTGTGTTTTCATTTTATGCTACACTTATGGAGCTGACAAATTCGAATATAGCCCAAGGCTTTTAAGACTTATGGTATGGAATTAATTATGTTATACAATACAGATATCTTTCAGAGCAAAAACAGTTTTTTTTCTTCTTCTCCTTCTGTCATTATTATTATTATTATTATTATTATTAGATTTGCTGTAGCACGTTGAGATGTACTTTTTTCTCTTCCTTTCTAGCACAATGCTGGTCCTTAAACTTGTGGTCCCAGCTGTAATATTGATCATAATGAGATGTTTTTCTATAGTGTGACTGAAAATGATACCGAACTGCTATTTGACTGTTACTTAGTAAAAGCCCTAAAGGGCCTTGTTGTTTGTAATAGCTGATCATTTTTAACATATTCGGAAATTTTACCACAGGTTTCGTAAAGAGATAATAGAAAAGTGTTGTGTTTTTTTTTTATTCAACATGTTACGACTGTTTTATATGGTCCTTGGTAGTTTTGAAGGCAGACTCCCAAAGAGAGGAGACTTAAACAAAACTATCCTGGTATCAGATTAAATGATAAAGGATTTTATTATTTTATTAATTACATTTACTTTTTAAGTTACCTTATATGGATGTGATGCGAAGAAGTGCCCTTCTAACTTTTATTTATATCTCACACAAGGGCTAAAATGGAGTTCTACAGATACTCAGATCACAAGCTTTGATTTACAGTTTTATGCATGCTCATAGTTATTTGCATGTGTTGAGGCAAACTCGTGCTTTTTTTTCTTTCATTTAATGTATTTACAATCTTTTATATACTTTGTGGTAGGTTGCAAGGATGATCTACACACAAAAATACATGGCACTTGGGTTCAATCCGAGTATTTTTTTCCCCCTACAATTTAGGCCTTGTGTATTTTTTTGGGGGGGAAATTGTCAGAAAAAATATGAAAATACAAGAAAATACAGAGATTAGACTGACGTTCGGTAACAGTGCTTGTAATATAAGCAAACCGAGCATGCTTACTGTTATGCTTAGTCATTCCCCAAAGGCGCAATCTGAGCCAAGAGAAAGTCTATAAATTCATACAAAATGACAGCTGCAGTAAGGCAAAGGTTTTGAAGTATCATTTTGTTAGATATCCGTCACTGCGAAGGATATTGAGGTATTTTACTTAACTTAATATTTTTATTATGGTGTCAATTTCTTATTAACTTAAAAGAAATCCGAAGCATGTTATAGTTAATTATTTCAATTCCCTCCGTGTTGTTATTGGTGTTCTTCAAGCTTTTAACAAAAAGACCATATTTTTAAAGATTTGAAAATAGTTTTTTGTAAGCTAAGCGTGAGCCCGGTTCCAGTGACCATTCTAAGGTCAGTATGATTCACCCAGAGCTCTCCGTCTATCTCTGTCTACATCTGTGGTATTGTTTTGCATCAACACACGTTTCCCCTCAGGCATTCACAGAGATCATCAGCAGGTTTATTTCCTTTTGTCCTACTGATGTCCCCTGTGGATGTCACCATAGCAACCCAACAGAAACGAGGTGAAGGTGTAATTTAAGATTTTTTTTTTTCTTTAAAAAACAGTGATGATTTACCCTTGCAAGACATGATTAAATTGGCTCACATGTCTACTGAAATAATTTAGTCAGGTCTGTTGGGGTTGCAAGGATTTGCATGTATCAGCGACAGAATAACAATTCACACCTAGCTTGGCTGCACGCTCTCTTCCAGAGCTTCCCCAAAGATTGTAGGAATTAGGGTGAGGCAGAATGAGCGAGCCTGGATTGTGTGTCAAGATGTATGGGGGAAGGATATGTTCACAGCGTTCTCAGCAGAGTGCCTAGAAATCACTGTATTGGGATTTTTGTTGCTATTTCTTTTCGTTACAGATCAACTTTTTAGTAAGCAACTGTTTTCAAATGACCTGACCTGTTGCGGATAGCTGTCTATCTCTTGATAAAGCAAGACTTTCTGGTATTTTTAAAAAATTCTTATTCGTCTTGTGGCACTAATTTATACTCTTGAGTAAGGCTGTGAGATATTATGTTCTATACAATTTTACAAGCAACACAGAACAAGAACATTCAACAGACCTGGGAGGGTTTTCATCTGATGATGTACATATATTTCTTTGTGGAGATCGTATCTTTATGTTCCTCTATGCCATAAAAGGCATGTTTCAATGGCAAAAACTTGTATGAACAAGTCTGACACAGTGCATTTCCATCTTTCCACACACCCCAAAACCTCACTATTGTTTCCCCTCAAAGCCTGACATGTTTGAAATGCTTGAGAATTCTTCAAGGCAACAGGGAAGGGCACCTTTAAAAGTCCTCTCATTGTAACATGTGAAAGGGAATGAGAAGACTTAAACCCTTCATCTCAAAGTCAGTGGAGTGAAATAGACAATCAGGTCTTCTGAAATGTAATTACTGGTTGTAAAAGCTCAGGGCTTAATGTGAGTCGGAACCCGTTAGAACAGGATCCAGCATCTCCAAACAATGTTCCTGTTAGACTTTCTAGAAACCACGAAAACAGCAAGTCTCTCTCTTTTTTTTTATTTATTTATTTTTTTAACTTTAGGAACCCTTTTGTCTGACCCATAAATTAATCTCATAGCCATAAGTGGGCTTTGCAGCGCATGGAAACAAAGTAATTATCTAGGGAGTAAATCCAATCAGGTAAACGATAAGTCCCAATTCCATAAGCTGGAGCTTCTGAGGTGAAGATGCTGTATCTGTGACAGATAATCAGCTCTTAATTTCAATCCACTGGGTACCTCTCTCTGAACATCTTCTTATGTGTTGGTAATTTTTTAAAGGGAAATCATAAAGACGTTTGTCAAGAAATCATCTGTCGACCCGTTCTTTTTAAGTACTTATTTACTAGAACACTGTGACACTGCGTCACAATCCTAGAACACTCTCCTTACTAGGAATTCAAAGCACTTAAAAAGAGCCAGCTACTTCCTAATTTGTAGTGGGAACAAAATATTGTCATGGGGAAATATTTTGAAGAAATGCAATTTGTCTATCAAATTGAATTTTATATATATACACATAGTGTCATGAACGTATTTGTGGTAGCAGCACCAATGCTGTCTGGCAATTTTTGTTTAGTTTTATATATCTTAAACAACTT